AGAAGCTAGGGGCAAACGGAACCGAGGCAGAATGTGCGGAGAACGGGTTGAATGCCTCCAGACCGGGCCAATAGATGGCTCCAAATGGCCCGGAGATGGAGTAGCCGGGATGCGAGGCACCGGAGAGCCCGCTGATGGGAGCTGGAGCTGCTGACGGAGGCGCTGGCAAGGGAGGAGGTGGATAGACAAGGAACTCCTGTCCACCAGGAAAAAGAGCTGCCATTGTGGCTGCAGCTGTAGTTGCCGGGAAGGCAGGTGTGAAAGGAGTGTATAGAAGTGAAGTGGGATCAAGCAGAAGGGAGGAAGTGTCTGAGGGACGAAAGCCAAGTGCTCCGGCCTGAAACCCTCCGACCGTCTTATTGGCAGCGCCAGAGAGTGACATAATGCTCGGCTGAATGGTAGCCATGGCGCCAGGGCTACTAGTTCGAGTTGAAGAGCTCGCATCTACGGTGCCCGTAGGACATGCAGTTTGTGAGGCTGGGGTAATTATCGAGGCAATGTCCTCTTGGGATCGTAGTGAAGGCGGAGGACGAGGAGAAGGGCCGGCTTCTACCTGCAGACTGGAGGGCGACCCGGGGACTGGCTGTGTGCTGAGCCCGTGAGCCTTTAGCTCTAGGCTTAATTCTTGTGCGTCGTAGTGTAGATCGAGAGGCGAAATTGGGCTAAATCCAAGCTCGGGTTCGGACAAAGGTTGATTATTTGTGCCAAGTGGAATGGGGGCTGAGACCTGCTGTCGGGGCTTAGTCACAGCCATTTCACTGACTCGAACCTTAACATGTTGCCGCGTCTGCCGCACAGGCTTGCCGGCCTGCAAATATGACTCATTAATGACAGTCACTTCAGTATTGGGCTTACCGGCTGAAGTAGAGCCGTAGGAAGTTTCAGAAGACAGACTAACAGCCACATAACCGGAAGTGGATGTAGAGGCGCCGGTGGCATTGTTAACAATATTGGAACTTGGAGTGGTAGTGTCGTAAATGTGTTGGTCTGCACTTTCCGAGTGACATTGATCAGACGAAGCATACTGAGTCATGACTGGGCCAGGCTGCATAGTGGGCTTTGGTGGTGCCGGGTTTAATGGAGAAGCCGGCAGAAGATACTGCTGTTGTTGCTGCATGGCAAGGCTTTTGCTCATACCTGCATGTAGCAGGTTCCGCTTGCCTGAAGGCAATCGACGATGTGGCGACTCGGAAGGCTTGCGGATCCCGGGGAGGGCATAAATCGACATATCTAGCGATGAGGTGAGAGGAAAATGAGCAAAGAGGAAAGAGTGCTCAAATAATAACTTTAAGGTAGTGCAACTTAATGTGCCTAACAGAGCAATGTTAGGCCTGCAAGATAAGAGTAATTTGTGGCGAATCAGAACTCACAAAAATTCCACTACCGCAGATCAAATTGTTTGACATTTCCCATTCAAATGGATTTAATGAATGAGTAATCACCTTTAGGTACCAGTACAAGATTCTGGCGTTAAATTACGCCTTAGCCATTCCTTGTTGTTAGGGCAACTTTCACTTCGTATGAAAGTGCATGAAGAAGAGATTCACATGTTAATCTCACCAGAAGACGACAGCTTATTCCTATTGTACTGAAGCCGTGTAGTTTTAATACGACGTTTAGGTTGAAGAAGTCCACGAGACCTTGCTCGTTTCCAATGAAAACTGGCTGAGCTTCCGCCCATCATATGACGGACATCATCAGAACAAGAAATCATTCTTACAAAAGTCTCAAGTTAACACTAGGTCAATAAAAGCATCCAACTTTACCTTACTTTTTACATATACTCAGTCTGTTCGTGTGTGTGTGCAAACTTCACAAACATGCACAGAAACGAGCCAAAGTAGCATGACCAATAGGACAGATAATTGGTCAAACCATTCTATATCTATCTATGACCATAGTTTCGTTTTTTAGTTATGAGTATATATATAAAAGGTTAGATAGAGCCGGATAGTCTTCTTGACATAGAGTTAACGTGAGACCTTTGGAAGAATGAGTTCCAGCTCTGATGATGTTCATCATATGATGGACGAAAGTTCAGCCCGTTTTCAACCTAAGCGAGAA